GAGTACTTTCTGTAGTGCCAGAACTATACAGCATACTGCATATGCATTATCCCATTTAATCCTCAAAAAACCTGAGGAAGGTACTCATCTTTATTTTAAGGATGAGAAAACTAGGATTTGCAGAAGTTACACAGCTTTCCTAAAATCTCTCATCACTCACTATCTTACCCCTTACCTATTTTTCTTTGTAAGCACTTACCACCTCCTGACATAAGTTTGTTTTCCTTACTTGTTTGTCATTTACCCTATACTCAGCTGGAATATGGTAGCAGTGGAATCAGAGCCTTTGTTTTCCTCACTGCTGATATTTTCAAAATCTGGAACAGTGCCTGGCACATAGTAGGTGCTTAGTTGATATTTGCTGAGTGGCTAGATAGATGATCTCAACTCTGCTTTGTTCCAGAAGCCTCACACTGACAGTTTGGATGGGACTGTTCCCAAGTGACTGGACAGTAGATCTCACTTGGACCTTAGACTTGGCCCATCATAAAGGAACTTGAGCTGCAACATCATTACAGTTCCTCTCCTACCTACCCTTACCATTGCATATTACATGAATGGAATTTATCCTAACCACCTTTTAAAGTAATATTTTTTTTATTTTGGGTAATGGAGGTACTTGGTATAATGCAAAAAGCAGTGAGTTGTCTCAGTGCTACTAGTTCTGAATTAGACGAATTGTACTAGACTTTTATTTTTTTTTAACCATCTGTTACCTTGTGTGACTCTTCACTCTTGGGTCTGTTCCTACTTACCTCCCTTTCCCCTTTTTTCTTTATCTTCATTCACCTTTTTTTGTCCTTCCTCATATTTTTGTCATCAATTCTCTTCTCAGCCTCTTTCTTCTCCCTAGGTGATCACTGTTCTCACTACTCTATTATATCTATATAGATAACTGCTAATTTTTTCTCTAAAACTGCCTTACAGTCTCTGACACCTTTAATTCCAGTTGTCTGATGGAAAAGTCCATTCACATGTCTTGTAGGCATTCACCTTTATCAGGTATAAAACTGATCCCAGTATCTCTACACCTCTTTATACCCCCATAGCCTCAGGCTGTGTTCTTATTACTGCCTAATCAGTTAACTAACCCTGTAATTTCAGAGCGATACTCAATTCTTTATAAGTTCTGATGAGCCTTCCCCCAAAATATCTTGAGTGTTTCCACTGGTAAGGATCATCAGTTCTTACATGGACCATTTGCATAGACCTCACTCTTCTCTCCTTAGTTTGCACACAGCTATTGCAATTCTCTTTTCTAAAATACATTTGGTTATCTTACTCCTCTGTTCAGAATCTTTTGTGACTCATCATCGTTGACAGAACTTGACCCTGACCTTCCTTTATAGCCTTCTCCTTCACCATTCCTCTAAGCCAATCAATCAGTACTTTGATATCAGAAGAGAGTTCCTTTGGGATGCCCAGGTGGCTCAGCGGTTGAGCATCTGCCTTCAGCTCAGGTCACAATCCCGGAGTACTGGGATTGAGTCCTACATCGGGCTCCCTGCATGGAGTCTGCTTCTCCCTTTGCCTATGTCTCTGTCTCTCTCTCTCATGAATAAATAAATAAAATCTTAAAAAAAAAAAAACGGAGTTCCTTTAACATACTGACTTAAAAACAAAACCCAAACATACTGACTTTATATTGACTTTATTTTGTTGTTCTTTTCGCTCATCACCTTCCACACCTTTTCAATCCTACTTCAACTGGTATTTCCATTTCATTAAAACTAAGTATTGCTGTATATGTCTATCTCTGCTCCTAGGTTATGAGCTTCTTGAGGATAAGGATTTTTTCTTTTCCATCTGTGAATTTCTCAACATCTTAGCTCCATGCCTACAGTAGGCTTGTAGGGATGTTTAGGTAGTGAGAATATGCTTTTGAAAATGTCTCTGTGCCTCAGTCACCTTGTCTGTCTCCCAGAATTACTGTCAGGATGAGGTAAGGTGATGTGGAAAAGGTCTTTGCAAAATTTTGAATTGCTGTATAAATATAAAGCACTAACTATGAGAAATAGCATAACTTTGCAGTGATAGAATTTAATATGTTCTCTGAGACTTGTAAATTTCTTTGAAATCCAAAAAAAAGTAGTTATAGCTCTTACTACATCATTGAGCAATTTAGTCAGTAATTTAATGGTACATATAAAGAAGTTTTGTGACATGAGATAAGACAGAAAAGAAGAATATCTGGTATCTGTGGGTTTTGACAAACAGGCAATTAACTAAAGGAATGAAATTTTTCTTGATAATTAGGGGAAGGTAACATTGAACTTTTATGGATTGAAAATTAATTTTGCTCTTCGCCTTAGTTATACTCTGTTAGTTTTTACTTTATTGATGAGTAAGCTCTAATCTTGTATACTTTTATGGTTATTTTGTGTGCTCTGTATTGTGACTTTGTAAAATGACAGAATATTTAAATAACACTTATGTCCTATAAAGATCTTTTTTAGGGCAGCCTGGGTGGCTCAGCGGTTTAGCGCTGCCTTCAGCCCAGGGCCTGATCCTGGAGACCTGGGATCGAGTCCCTCATCAGGCTTCCTGCAGGGAGTCTGCTTCTCCCTCTGCCTGTGTCTCTGCCTCTCTCTCTCTCTCTCTGTCTCTCTCTCTCTGTTTCTCATGAATAAATAAATAAAATCTTAAAAAAAAAAGATCTTTTTTTAAAGCAGTTCTTATTCTGTCCTAATTTTAGTTTTTATCATATCTTGACAGAGCTAAATTTCAAAAAGTCTTATTTAAAATATTTATTCTATTCAAATTGACATAAGACTTGTTTTCATCTTAAAAGATTATAGTGTGGTATTCTAGTTTGTGATATGCTATAATGTTGCCAAATCTTATTACCTGTCCCTCTTTTACTAAAGAAAATAAATCAACACAATAACAAAGAGGAATGGTATAATATTAAAAGTCTTTGTAAGACTTCCTAATGTGAAAGGAATTTGGCTTTTACAAATATTACAATCATCTTGGACAGCTGTGATTTGAGTCATCATTGAAATCCCCAAAATAGTCTACTTTTACCGTAGTTCTTATAAAAATGTAATGGAGAATTCCACTTTATTACTGTGAAAACTACTTGAAAAATATAAAAGAGTTTTAGAAAAATTACTGTGGCTATTGACTCAGAGATCTCTTTAAGATTGTCAAAGATAATTTGTTTTTAAGATGCTTATTATCCTTATGTATATATAGTAAACCCATAAAATTTGAAACAGGGATTTTTGTAGTCTTAAATAATACCAAGTTGGCATTCTTCATATTCTTAGGTGGAATGCTTTAAAACTTAAAGAAGTGAATTAGGGTATAGGCAGATAGGTTACATTTATGATCAACTCAGGATTTTTTTTTTTTTAGGATTTTTTTTTAAAAAACATATTAATGAATTCTTCATCCCAGACTGTGTTGCCTCTGCCACTAGCTAGCTTCTCTATTGCCTCCCACTACTCTCAATCCATGGATTGGACATTTTTTTTTTCTGTTTTTTGTTAAGTGTCGAGATCATGAAGAAAAGTCTGTTTTACAGAGAAAAATACTTTCCAAAGTCAAGTGTCAATGATATTTGAATGATCCCGTTATGGTTTTTCCCTTTAAAATTGCTTCCCTGCTATCAGTTCTGTTAACCAATAGCATAGTACTCTTAGGCACTCAGAAATGAGCATTAATTAATAATAAATAAATAAATTAAAATTAAAATAAAAAAAAAAGAAATGAGCATTAATGACATAATCCTGAGTTAAGCATCCATTTTGTAGGAATAGGATGAAGAGTAAAGTGCCTTGGTAACCTTTGACTTCAGATGGTTTTCACGCAGTTCATATCTTTCCACTTAAAAAAAAAATCATGTTCTTTTTGTAACTTAATAGCAAACCTTAATAGCAGCCTTATTTTAGGGCTATTCCAGTGTGTTTTTAAATTGGACTTAGCTGTTCATTTGATAATGGTAATGATAGTAGTGATAATACTAAACTAAACTAAACCATTTAGTGGTACTGATAATTCTCAGTTTTTGAGCACTTACTAAGTACTAAGCTCTTTTGTCAAATTCTTTACCAATACTACTTTATCCTCATTACACTCTGCAAGGTAGGTACTATTAACCCATTTAACATGGAAGGACTGAAATTTTGAGTGACGAAACAATTTGTCACACAGTAAGTGGATAAGTTTGGGTTTCAGAGACTAGGCTCTTACCCTACGTGGTCTTACCTGGCATTTGTCATTTGTACTACAACTTTTGGCACTTGTTATTGTCTTAGTCCACTCAGGCTACCATAACAAAATACCACCAAGTGGGTGACTTATAAACTGCAGACATTTTATTTCTTATGGTTCTGGAGGCTAGAAGCCCAAAATCAAATCGCCTCTTCCTGGTTCACAGCCATTGCCTTCTCACTATGTCTTCACATGGTGGAAGGGGCTAAAAAGCTCTCTGAGGGACCTCTTTTATAAATCTCAGTCATGAGGGCTCCACTCTGAGCACCTCCCAAAGGCCCCATTTCCTAATACTATCACATGAGGCATTAAGATTTTGACATATGAATGTTGGGCGGGACATAAATGTTCAGAACATAACATACTTTACTTTTATTATTTTTTTTATTTTTATTTTTTTTATTTATTTATGATAGTCACAGAGAGAGAGAGAGAGAGAGAGGCAGAGACACAGGCAGAGGGAGAAGCAGGCTCCATGCACCGGGAGCCTGATGTGGGATTCGATCCGGGTCTCCAGGATCGCGCCCTGGGCCAAAGGCAGGCGCCAAACCGCTGCGCCACCCAGGGATCCCCATACTTTACTTTTAAAATAAAAGTCTATAATTGTCTAGGATAGGAGTGAACTTATCTCTGACAAGTTCTGAGCTCTGAGCTCCTTGAGAAAGGAAATGACCTCACCTGCAATACTTGTTTTGATCCCCCATATTATGTAAGAAAACTTAAATGTATGTAAATACTCAGGATATGCTTGTTTAGCTGAATGCGTTTCTCCTTTTTTACAGGTGGTAAAGCAGTACCACTTATCACTTCAGAGCCATCACCTGCCATGATGTCTGTGACGCTGCCCTCAGTGAAACTGGAGAAGTGTTCTCAATCTCCGAGCATTAGCACTGTCCAGGAAGACATAGAGTCCTCAGGAACAGACACCTTCTGAAAAGGAAGGGAGAGCCAGCATAATATGTGTGCCACTGGTTTTGAAGTCATTTTTCTCTGGTATAAAACCATGTCTCAGACAATTTTGGGTTTTGAGCATATTCTGAAAAATAATTTCTAAATTTTTTATGAAAGTAAAAAGCATAATTTGGGTAGTTAGGTAAAATTTTTAAATAAAATAATTTAAAGACCAATCATCTTGAGTCTGAATTATTTCTTAGAATCCTGAGGCAGCATAGAGGAGTGGAAAGGGCATGACTTTTGGCATCTGAAAATTTATTCTACGGATATAATTGCCTGTAGTTATGAAATGATGTTGCTCAAGGCTATTCATTTCAAATATTTGGCAGTAATATAACACCTATCAATAAGGGACTGACTGAAAAAGTGATGTTATATCTGTACAATGGAATGCTATGTAGTACAAAAAAGAATTGTAAAATATTTGTGTCAATGTGGAATTGTCTCTGAGAAATATCATTAAAATGAAAAAAGCCATGGGCAACATAGCTCCCATCATTTACAATGGGAGGAGGAACCCAATATGTGGTGTGTACACATACATACACTTACAGACATGTATTTGTGTAGGTATGCGTTAAATATCTATGGGAGGATAAATGAGAAACTGCTAACTTTGTTTCTGGGGAGGGAGATCGAGTGGCTAGGTGATAGGAGTCAAGTAGACTGAAATCACTGTGTATTTGAACTTCAGGGTGACAGGAAAAAATTATGAGAGGTTTATTTTTTTCATTCCTTACATATACCTTATAAACCTTTATAGTTTACAAACCTGTGAAATATGACTAGATTACCTTTCAAAGCATAGATAAATAAAACAAAAAGCGTAGCTTTGAAATCAGATACATGTAGGTTCTAGTTCCACTTTCCTCACCTTCTTGCTCTGTGATAGGGGCAGATAAATCCCTTCTTCAGGGATGTCTGGGCAAATGGGTTTAATACCTGTTTTGCAGGATAATAAGGATTATCAATAATGTTGGGGGTGGCACTCAGCACAGTGCCTGGCACTGAGGAGAGCTCAGGAAATGGTGGGTATCATTATCTTGAGGAATTTATCTTGCACTAGAGGGTAAGCACAATGAGAAGCAGGGTAGCCTAGTATTAGCAAAAGAAAGAAATAAACCCCACAAAACTCATCTCCCTGAATATTTTTTCCTGTCACAACTGAAGCTCAAACACACGGTAACTCCAGTCATCCTTGACTTTTCTCAGCATTTTTCTGGGTTGCTTAGTGGGTCTCAGCCTTGGCTGCACAGTAGAGCCTCTGGGAGCTTTAAAAATGCCTATGTTCCATTCTCAGGGATTCCCACCTCATCGATATGGGATAGGGCCTGGGCATTGGTGTTAAAAAAGAGAAAAGAGGGATCCCTGGGTGGCGCAGCGGTTTGGCGCCTGCCTTTGGCCCGGGGCGCGATCCTGGAGACCCAGGATCGAATCCCACGTCAGGCTCCCAGTGCATGGAGCCTGCTTCTCCCTCTGCCTGTGTCTCTGCCTCTCTCTCTCTCTCTGTATGACTATCGTAAATAAATAAAAAAAAAATTTAAAAAAAAAAAAAGAGAAAAGACCTTTCCAGGTGGTTAAAATGTATATTCAAGTTACGAATTACTCAAGAGCAACGTAGAATTCCTTAAACTTCTAGAAGGGCCCACCTCCTGGGGAATTGAAGAAGAGTTTGAGAATTTCTTCTCACTGAAGACAGAAGTTTTGAGAACCTATGGAAATGTGTCAGCCTTCCACACACAGTTCTTATGTCAGTTCCTCCAGCTTCTCTCTGATACTCTGTTACTGAAATAAGTTAGGTTTCACTTTAGAACCTATTTTTCTTTGGTATTGCTTTTTGGACAGTTCTGCTTGTAACAGTTCCCATTAAACAAGTAGAGAGAAAATGCCATCCTCTGTTTAATAATTGGTATTTGAGAGCAGCCCTGGTGGCCCAGCGGTTTGGCACTGCCTTTGGCCCGGGGTATGATCCTGGAGACCCGGGGATGGAGTCCTGCTTCGGGCTCCCTGCATGGAGCCTGCTTCTCCCTCTGCCTGTGTCTCTGCCTCTCTCTATGTCTCTCATGAGTAAATAAATAAAATCTTAAATAATAATAATAATTAATAATTGGTATTTGCTGTTCATCTACAAATCTCTAGACAGGGTGAATGCTGCTTCATTTTAAACATCACTCCCTTGGTTTCTCATTTTCACAGCTGCTTTTTGAGAAAGATGTTCTTTAATTTTAGCAGAAGCATTTTTTAAAAGATGTTGGTAGTTTCTCTCCCTTAACTGTAGGAGACCTTTTCTAATTTTAGGGCAGACATATATAGTCTTTGATTTATTCCTCTCCTTGTTTACTTGAACTTTAAAAAAAAAAGTTTTGTGTTTGCTCGTCAGTATATTGTTTTATGAAATTTCTGGCCAGTGTTGTGTGTGTGTGTGTGTGTGTGTGAATGCATTCACCTGCCAACCACCTCAGATCCTTTTGGAATAAATGATGTATGTAAAGTAAATGGCATTTTTGATGTTACATACTTTTAAAAACTTCACTTTATAATTTCAAGCTTCTCGAGTGAACTATTTAGAAAACATGCTACTAAGAGGCAGACTCTGTCAAGATCAAGGCTGTGAGCAAAAGAAACAGTCAACAAAACTAAAAGACAACCTACAGAATGGGAGAAGATATTTGCAAATGACGTATCAGATAAAGGGCTAGTGTCCAAGATCTATAAAGAACTTATTTAACTCAACAGCAAAGAAACAAACAATCCAATCATGAAATGGGCAAAAGACATGAACAGAAATTTCATAGAGGAAGACATAGACATGGCCAACATGCACATGAGAAAATGCTCTGCGTCACTGGCCATCAGGGAAATACAAATCAAAACCACAGTGAAATACCACCTCACACCAGTGAGAATGGGGAAAATTAACAAGACAGGAAACCACAAATGTTGGAGAGGATGCGGAGAAAAGGGAACCCTCTTACACTGTTGGTGGGAATGTGAACTGGTGCAGCCACTCTGGAAAACTGTGTGGAGGTTCCTCAAAGAGTTAAAAATAGACCTGCCCTACGACCCAGCAATTGCACTGCTGGGGATTTACCCCAAAGATACAGATGCAGTGAAACGCCACCGGGATACCTGCACCCCAATGTTTATAGCAGCAATGTCCACAAAAGCCAAACTGTGGCAGGAGCCTCGGTGCCCATCGAAAGATGAATGGATAAAGAAGCTGTGGTCTATGTATACAATGGAATATTACTCAGCCATTAGAAACGACAAATACCCACCATTTGCTTCAACGTGGATGGAACTGGAGGGTATTATGCTGAGTGAAGTAAGTCAATCGGAGAAGGACAAACAGTGTATGTTCTCATTCATTTGGGGAATATGAATAATAGTGAAAGGGAATATAAGGGAAGGGAGAAGAAAGTGTGTGGGAAATATCAGAAAGGGAGACAGAACATAAAGACTCCTAACTCTGGGAAATGAACTAGGGGTGGTGGAAGGGGAGGAGGGCGGGGGGTGGGGGTGAATGGGTGATGGGCACTGAGGGGGGCACTTGACGGGATGAGCACTGGGTGTTATTCTGTATGTTGGTAAATTGAACAATAAAAATTTATTAAAACAACAACAACAACAACAAAAGAAGATGTGGTCTATGTATACAATGGAATATTCCTCAGCCATTAGAAATGACAAATACCCACCATTTGCTTTGGTGTGGATGGACCTGGAGGGTATCATGCTGAGTGAAATAAGTCAATTGGAGAAGGACAAACATTATATGGTCTCATTCATTTGGGGAATATAAAAATTAGTGAAAGGGAATAAAGGGAAAGGAGAGAAAAATGAGTGAAAATATCAATGAGGGTGACAAAACATGAGAGACACCTAACTAGGAAATGAACAAGGGATAGTGAAAAGGGAGGTGGGTGGGTGGTTGGGGTGACTGGGTGATGGGCACTGAGGGGGGCACTTGGCAGGATGAGCACTGGGTGTTATGCTATATGTTGGCAAATTGAACTCCAATAAAAAATATTTTTTTAAATAGAAAAAAATAAAAGACTTCTTAAATTAAAAAAAAAAGATCAAGGCTGTGAATATTGCTGTACTTACATGCCTCAACACCAGGATAGCAGGCATTCAAAATGTTCCCTTGGTATAAATCCTAAAGTAAATTTGCTTTTTGTGCACATTAATAGAATCTTACATAAATGTTTTCATTTTTAAAAGATGATTAGCTCAGTATATTTCTTATACCTTGCCTATTCCTGATCTCTTAATTTTGCTTTTTAAATGCTAAACATATATTTAGCTAAGTTTTATTGCTTTTCTACTAAAAACTCAAAACACTTTTCTGTAAAATAAAAAAATAGTTCATGGTGGATTACCATCTCTAATCCAAGAATAATTCTGTAATTATTCAGAAATAATTATTGAAATATTTTTATCTTTTAAAAAATGCTCCAATGCTATGGCATTTCCTTATAGATGAGTAACAAACAATAGTGGATGGCTGAATCCTTGTATTTCTGTGACATTGCTGAGAAATCCCACTGAAGTACTTTTTTTCTACTGTATGCCCATATGTGTACCTATTTAACAAAAATTAACTCTGAAGGACATTGGGCATGCAGTGTGGTATAGATACTCGGGCTCGGCTGGGCGGCCATGTCAGGATTTGTCATCCCTCCCTTTGGGCATCTGCCTCTCCTGGGGTACAAAGGTTAAACAAGGAATTCTATCTCTTCCTAGAATAAAATCATCACTTGGTCATTGAACACCAGTCGCACTATAGTTTTAAAGACTATCTTAAGGGATCCCTGGGTGGCGCAGCGGTTTAGCACCTGCCTTTGGCCCAGGGCGCGATCCTGGAGACCCAGGATTGAATCCCACATCGGGCTCCTGGTGCATGAAGCCTGCTTCTCCCTCTGCCTGTGTCTTGTCTCTGCCTCTCTCTCTCTCTCTCTCTCTCTCTCTATCATAAAAAAAAAAAGACTATCTTAAAAATGTATTGAAGAAAAACAAACAGGATTATTGTCATCAGAAATCCTATCATGATAGTTTAGAAAAGTTCAGAAGGCTAGTTTTTTATTTGACCTAGCCCATGCTGGAAGAATAGATTCCAAGTCTTAGACTGTCAAAACTTTGAGAATAATCAGCCTTCGTTGGTATTTTTTAAGACAGTTTTTCTTCTTGTCCTGAAGTGTTTACCTAGAAACAATAGGAAATATTAGCCAGAGTACAGATGCCCCCTTGTGAGGCCAATAAATATTGTTAAACTGTAATGTTCCATTAATTGCCAAGGGAGCCAGCAAATCAAAGCTCTTTTGCTGAGTCTCTATGATGTGTGCGGTCTCATAATTTCAGCTATAGTGAGGGATAAGTTCCTGATAAA